CGTATAAATGTATGTCCTAAAATGCTTACTTTCAGAGATACAGGGTGTAGAACTTTCATTTTTATACCGATTTTTTCTAAATAATTTCTGAAGTAACGACAATATTTGGATGAAAAGTGGTGTCTGGGTATTTTTTGACATGAGAATTTTGGTTTTGGTGTCAATATGACTCCTATTAGTAGAGGGTGCCACCTACATGTGTTTTAACTTTTTTGAAGCGTAATAACTTTTTGTCTGTACCTGTATAAAACTACCGAGCGAAAAAATATACATCTCTGTGACTTTTTACGTAAGAAAAATCTCTTTGTAAAAATCGCTACGAGCAACCGTTCTTAAGATATTTAGAATGGAAATAGACAATACATGTCATTATTAACGAAAAATAAACACGTTGAATAGATAGTTATTTCAATGAAATAATAAATTTGGGAAATGTATATTTTTTAAATTAATCATAATTTTTTCTGCAAAAATGATGATAAAACAGTTTCTCTTGAACTTTTGGCACAAAAACATTTCAAATTTATGATTTCAGTTTAGTAACTATTTAGTTAACATGTTTAATTATGTCAATGATGACAGGTATTGATAATTTCGATTCCAAATATCTCGAAAACCATTACTCGTAGCGATTTTTACCAAGAGATCTTTTTCACGTAAAAAACGTCGTAAATGTATATTTTTTTACTCAGTAGTTTTATACATGTACGGACGAAAAGTTATTACTCTTCAAACCAGTTAAAAAAAAGTAGGTGGCGCCGTCTACTAGTAGGGGTCATATTGACATCAAAATCAAATTTGTCATGCCAAAGAACTCCCAGACACCAATTTTCTTCCAAATATTGACGTCACTTCAGAAATTATTTGGAAAAAATCGAAATAAAAATGAAACTTCTACACCCTGTATCTCCGAAACTAAGCATTTTAGGACATACATTTATATGAACTTTTTTGCTTAATTTTATCTGTAGAATATACTGCCGAAGTTTCCGCAATACAGTTCGGACTACCCTGTATATAATATTATACATAGCCTATATAAACATATAGGCTATGGTATGTACAAATGAGAACCTCGTAGCTATATTATAAAATTATAATGACATTAAAATAATAATGAATGTCGCGAGTATTAAAATAATAACGTATAAACTTAGTTGTAACTATTTCTGGAAAAATATTACATTGCTTTTTATTTCTTTTCGCTATACAGGGTCCGCAAATAGTGCGTCGGGCATCTGTAGCCTCTAACATAAAACGCTTAGGAATTTTGTTTAAGTGCAAACCTAAAATATGTATTAGGATGTATATCAGGAAAATAATTTAACTTCTACTGGGTGGCTCAAAAAAGTGTAAGTGGGCGGGGATGATTTTATTTAAAACACCCTGTATATGATTGCATTTTTGGCTTCCTTTCTGATGACTTAATTCTAAGATAACCTAATTCTCAGATATTTTTAAATATGTTTGGATAGTTTCAAAGATAATGGATTCAATTTTTTTAAACAAATTATTAAATATCGTAATCTCAAATCATACAAGATGTTCAAAATTCGCCAAACATTCAAAAGATAAAATAAATTTTCTTCGTTTTTTAAATGGAACACTAAAAATGAACATTTTTTGCATGTAGAGTATTTCAAAATTTTTAACGGCTTCGCAGATACTCGTGGTATTATTTCATATTATGGCTCTTTCAACTGTAAAATACAGAAAAATCACTGGGTGGTTTTGATAAAAGTTTACTGTGGAAAACGTCATAAAAAATATAAAACCGCGAATATCTGTCTGCGGAACCGTTGAAAATTGTATAATACTCTGAATGCAAAAAATGTTCATTCTTTAATTCTCAATCTATTAAAAAAATATACGGGGTGTTCCATTAAAAAAACAAAGAAAATTTGTTTTATATTTTAGAAAGTTTGGCGTAAAAGTTTGAACACCCTGTATGATTAAAGATTACGATATTTATAGCAAAGTAAGTACAAACCATTTATTATTATCAGCAGATGATTATATGATGGCGCTGATCGTCAAAATTTTTGGACAGGGATTTTGCTTACCGACAATACAACGTGAGCTACGACCGGACCAGGACCAATCAGAATGATCAGTCTTTCTTGGACATTTGCCGCGGAAGTGTGTGTTAATTTCTGTTGTGATAAGTGTGGTTGTGTTTGCAGTTTGATTTTTCGGTTTTGAAATATAAAAATGGTTCCAGCAAAAGTTTCCCAATTATGACGGATGATGGCGCTGATCGTTAAAATTTTTGGACAGGGATTTTGCTTACCGACAATACGACGTGAGCTACGACCGGACCAGGACCAATCAGAATGATCAGTCTTTCTTGGACATTTGCCGCGGAAGTGTGTGTTAATTTCTGTTGTGATAAGTGTGGTTGTGTTTGCTGTTTGATTTTTCGGTTTTGATATTATGTTAAAATTAATTTTGAAGTATTGTATCACCTGTTTTTATGTAATAGTACTTTTTTTAGTTCTATGATCTGATATGTTATGATTTGTTAATGTTTGTTTAACAATGTTATACCAAAGAGGTTATACTTAATATTCAATTTGCATAGCCTAACTTTTTTATCAATAAACTTTGTAGATTTTTCGCCCTGTATGATTAAAGATTACGATATTTATAACAAAAATAAGTACAAACCATTTAAAGTTAGTCCTTAATATAGTTTTGATGGCAGGACAGTTGTATCGGAAAATAAAATTACATAAATCATTTTTAATACATATTATGTTATTTTTACACATAATATGTTTTTCGCTAACCATGTTAGCAAATAGCGAATAATAATTAAAATGAAAAAGTACATTTTACAAGTCCCCAGCCCCGCATATAACTCGCTAAGTGTTAACTATGTCGAGAGATGGCGTTACGAAAATGGAACCGATTTATTACAGGGAACTTGGGCTTCTTTTTCGTTAGTATATTCTGTGGTAGGAACAAAGAACTTGAAGGAATTGGACCGTTGACTCTGTTCATACTATCTTTACATTTATTAATTCTGATGCTTTCATATGCATGTAATTGCCTGTAATTTGAGACTTGTTTAATTAATTTTAAATTATTAAGCTCTATACAATGTTCTTTATCAACAATATGTTCGGCAACGCAAGATTTACCCGGTCTACCATATCTTATGTGAGCTAAATGTTCTTTAAATCTAGTTAATATTGATCTTCTAGTTTGCCCAACATATTTCTGATTACAATCTTTACAAGAAATTTCATAAATACCCGAGCTTTCCAGTGGAGGTGTTTTATCCTTTGGATTACCTAATAATTGTTGTAATTTATTATTAGCACTATACACAAGTTTATAATTGACATTCTTAAAAATTCCTTTTAGACCACGGGATAACTCTCTATCAAACGGTATTGAAAAATATTTAGACGTATCTTTCTCCACTTGAAAAGTCGAATTTTCAGAAATCATTAACCTATACCTACGTTTTCTAATTAATTTATCAACTAGTGAAGAAGAATATTCATCACACTCAGCTACATTCCTAATGTAATCTCTTTCTATTTCATATCTTTCGTTGGAAAGTGGGAAACTAAGTAATCTATGAACTAAGAAATTTAAACTAGCCATTTTATGTTCAACACTATGATGTGATTCATTAGGAATATATCTGCGTGTGGTGGTATTTTTCCTATAGATATCAAATTCCAGGCAATTATTAGTATTTCTAATAACAAATACATATAGAAATGGTAATCTGTCGTTGTTCTCAATTTCATGCGTAAATTTAATGGAAAACGATTATTTAACTTAGAAATAAAATTATCTATGGTGTCTGAATGTGTGTCAAAAACAGCAAAAATATCATCCACATACCTAAACTCTGATTCTCAGCCTCCACTTCAAACCTGCTCATGAATAAATTAGCCAAAAATGGAGACAATGGATTACCCATTGCTGTACCTTTCCTTGTTATTAAATTGAAAACAATTTTGTTTCATACATAACGATGTAAGCTCAATATATTCAATCACAGTTTTGTTGTCGAGACCATTTGCGTTCAGTAATTCCTTCAAGTAGCCTAAAGTATGTGGAATTGGAACATTTGGGAACAACGAAGATACATCAAAGGAGACCAAAATTTCACCTTCATGCAATGTTATATCTTTAATTTTGTTAATGAATTCAATATTATTTTTAACTGAGAAAGAAGGTTCATGATCAGGTAAAGTTTCGAACTCCCTTGATAACCATTTTGTCAAATTATAAGTCGGAGAACCTACAGCCGAAACAATTGGGCGCATATACTTGTCCGGCTTATGAATTTTTAGCAAAGCATACAATTTTGGTAATGAGGTATTGGATACTTGCAATTTCCTCTTTAAAGAAAGATCAATAAGGGTGTTACATTCTTTTAGAGTTTTTTAACGTCTGCTACCATCTTAGACAAAGGATTCTTTTTCAAATTTATGTAGGGGCCATTATAGTTGTTGTATTAATAATTTTTTAAACACGCCGAAAAATATATATTTTTTATTTATTCATTAATATCTCTGAAACTATCGAAATATATTTACTCATACCTTAAGATTATGTAAAGTGATCTGAAAGGAATCATTAAAAAAATCATTCCGATCCACCCACAATTTTTTGAGCCACCCTGTAGAGGTTAAATTATTTTCCCGAAATACATCCGAAATCCGAATACATACTCTATAGGTTTGCAGTTAAACAAAATTCACAAGTTTTTTTCATTCCAGGCACTACAAATGCCCGACGCACTATTATTGCCGGACCCTGTATGATATCTGTAACGTCAACGTCATATTTAAATATAAATAATACCAAATTATACATATTGTTAATAATGTTGAGAGATTACCGATTGGGATTAATTACATATTGTACGTACAAACAATACAAGAAAATGTTATTAAGGGAAATACACTATAAGCTAATCAAAGTTTGCGTAGATTTAGTTGTTCAAACAAATGCAATATTGTCAAGAGATCTCATTGATTTTTTGATACGTTATGTGAACATGTTATATGAGTGAAATAACTGCACATGTTAGTCGAATTTGTTTAATTTATTAATTTATATTAGTTAAGTTGTTAAAACAGTTTCTAAATGGTAATATGAGTTTTTATTTTATAAGTGCTAGTGCATTTAGGGGCGATTCTGATGTTTGGGTGGATAAACCTACCCAAAGAGGTAATTTCAAAGGAACTAGGTTTATTTATTCATATTCTTTAACGTGTGTTTCTTATTTTTGGATAGGAATCATTCTTTATTCCGTAGTTACACCTATTTTGTGTTGTTTTGGCATTTTTGGCAACGCTTTGTCGCTGATTGTTTTAAGAAGAAAAGAATTGGTTGGATCTGTTTATACATATTTAGCAGGTAAATAACATGAGAATTTCGTGTTAAATCAAATTTTTTATTATGCAATTTTGATAGTTCATCATTTAGACTCAGAGTATTAATAAATTATATTTCTAATATAATCTAAGATCCGGCTGCAGGATTATTAATCTCATCGTATTTTTAATCAAAATCTAATTTTTACGTATATTTATGAATAGGAGAATACACTTTTAACAGGGTGCCAATCAAAAAGTTGCCGCAACTTTCTTTAATAATAATTTTTGAGACGACATTACGTTCATAAAATTCTTTGATCATTTAGATTTTATTCCGTGCATAATGTGCTATCCGTAGCTCCTTCCTATAATAAAAAAACTTAGGAATTTTGTATAAGTGCGAACCTAATAAAGTTAAGTAAGTCCGCTGCCGGTAAACGTTGTGTTCCCTAGTGCGCATTGAAAGAAGATCCTATATTTTTATTAGTCCTTTAAATTCTAGTATTGAACGTAAATCGAACATGTCTCCATAGCGCAGTGCATAGAGTTTCCGACCACGAACCGATGCTTTACAGTTCGAATCCGGGTCAGGGCAAAGACTTTTTTATTTTATTTTCGTTTATATTCTGATAGTAAAGTATTTATATTTGTTTTGTAAAGTAAATATTTGTTTTTTTTAATCACCAGAATTATTTAATACTTTTCTATCAAATAAAATAAAAAAAAGTCTTTGCCCCGAGCCGGGTTCGAACTCTGAATCATCGGTTCGTGGTCGGCAACTCTACGCACTGCGCTAGGGAGACATGTTCGATTTATATTCAATACTAGAATTTATAGAACTAAATTAATAAAAAATATAGGATCTTCTTCCGATGCGCAATAGTGAACGCAACGAGTAGACTATCTATCGGCAACCAGACGGGCCGCATGCTGTTCCAGAGAGCATAGTAAAAGATATATCAAAGAGCCAGACGTCTTAAAATACTTTCTCGAAAACGTTGCTAGCTCTTAGACTATAAAGTATGTGATAGCATGTATTTCAGGATTCAGAAACGTTGTTAACTTCTACAGGGTGGCTCAAAAAAGTGTGAGTGGATCGGTATGATTTTTTTTAAATGGAACACCACTAGTAATCTTTTCTGATCACTTCACATAATTCTAAGATATTATTAAATATGTTTCGGTAGTTTCAAAAATATTAATAAATAAATAAAAAAAAAGTGTTTTCAGCCTTTTTTTTTTCTAAATTATTATAAAAACAAGAAATGTTTTGAAATCAGAACTATATTAAATATTTACTATTGTTGGTCTGTACTTACTTTGCTATAAATATCGTGATATTAAACTATACAGGGAAAATTATATGCCAAGCTATCAAAATTATAAAATCATTTTCCTTCGTTTTTTTAAATAGCACATTTTTTTATTCCTTTATTAGATGGAGAATTAAAAAATGAACTTTTTTTATATTCAAAATATTTCAAAATTTTGTACCTTGTGTCAATATCAGTCTGATATTTTATTGTTGAAAGAGTCATATGTAATAAAAACGCGAATATTTGCACAACCGTTACAATTTCGAAATACTTTAAATTCGAAAAATATTGATTTTTTAATTCTCCATCTAACAAAGGAATAATAACAGGGTGTTTTATTGAAAAAAAACGAAGAAAAAATGTTTTAGAAAATTTTGCATAGAATTTTGAACACCCTGTATGGTTTAAGATTACGAGATTACAATTGCTATTTTATTTATAGCAAAGTAAGTACAGACCAACAATAGTAAATCTATAGTATAGTTTTGATTTCAGGGCATTTCTTATAATGTTAATATTTTTTTAAGACTGAAACACTTTTTTTATTTATTTATTAATATTTTTGAAACTATCGAAACGTATTTAATAATATCTGAGGATTATGTAAAGTGAGCATAAAGAAAGCCAAAGATGCAATAATATACAGGGTTGCCATATATTTTATGTTTTTTAACTAAAAACTAACAAAATTTCCAAAAAAAATCAAATTTTTAACGAAATCTCATAGGCGTGTTTCTGGGGTCGAACTATACTACCAGTTAAAATACTTGCACTTATCTCTGGGACACCCTGTATAATAGTATATTCTCTTGAAATACATGCTAAAACATTCCAAAAAAAACCAGCGTCAGCCATGGCTGTGGAGTGAAGATCGCTGTCATTTTATATGTAAAATTATATGGGGAATGTTATCGATCGTCATTCCCAAGCCCAAGTCAACTGGACGCCGTTTTTTTCGATCATACGGTACTTTAGGTTGGCAATTATACAAAATTCCTAAGTTTTTTATTGTAGGAGCTACAGATGCCTGACGCACTATTGCTGGGTTATACAGGGTGGCCCATCGAAAACGTTCCGCAAGGCATAACGGCCAGGGTAATTTTTTTTCAGAAAATTCAAAAACACGTCAATTTTGTTTGTGAGGGGGACAACTTTTGCCCCAAAAATGATTGCAAAATCTTCAACCCCCTGAGCGGGGGTTTCATCCCCCAATTTTTTTCAAATGGGAAGGGGGGTGAAGTGGTACCGCAATGAAAAGGGCTTTCTATTCTCTATACTTTCCCGCTTCGTTTTTGAAAATCGGTCGAATCATTGAGAAAATATGAAGGATTGAAATTTGAAAAGTTTATTTAAACTAGCGATGGGAACTATCAAATGAATTAGACTATCGAATGGTTAATGAATGAATGATTTCAACTATCGAATGGTTTTATTCGAATAAAATCATTCATTCATTTGTAAACTAAAGCATATGTGACAACCTCGCCGTGCGACTAAATGGTTATCGTTGAGCCACGACTATCGAATGCTTTTGATAAATGAAATTTAGTATTCGTTTGGATTTTGTATGCGTCAGTGCATTATTGGTTCTTCCAAATTTTTATAACTTCGCCGTATAAATACTGTGCTATTTTTGTGTTTTATTAAAATAGTTAAAATACTAAAATAGTAGTTATTTTTAATTTTATTTATTGACGATTGTGTGCATGTGCAGGTGGTCAAAATATTTGGCGACTTTTATTTTATTTTTGGCGACTTTCGCCACCCCTAGTGGCGACCAGCTAAACTAATATCTGGCAACACTGGTCCGATCTTTCAATTATTTCATTTTATATGGTATATGGTCTATTTTTAATGGGAAATTTTGAGAAGTAGCAATTTTTAAGAGAGATGAGATGAACTTACAATTAATTTTAAAAATACATATTTGTATTTTAGATGTTTTAATAATACCTATGAATTAGTTGGAACTTAATAATTATATTTAAGTAATGTGGTTAAATAAATGGTTATCGAACTCAAACTATGGGGTGAGAAAACTAAAATGAAAATTTTACACGTGCCAATTTAAAAAAAAAGTTAACGATGTTTGTATTTTGTTTATGCTAATTCTCTTACATGTAGTTTTTTGCGAAGAAATATTTCATTTATTTTAAAGTAAATGCCAGTAAAAGTAAATATAATTTTTAAATAGTAATATAAAGCACCTAATATAAATAATTTTGATTTCTAATTTTTTATTTATATTTTCCTCCCATTACACCGCTTGCTTAGAAAATTAGTAAATGTTTATATTTCATGATTTTAAAATTTGTTGTTATTATAACAAATTAGTTCTGTAATTATTATTATTTAATAAACCAACGTTGCCAAAAAAATTAGAGACTATATTATTTTTAAATAGGATCTAATATAAATAATTTTGACATCTAATTTGTTGTTTATATTTTGCTACTACGTAAAAAAAAATTATATTAAATGATTTTAAATTTTGTTGTTAATAGGTATTACAAATTTTTACTGTTATTATTATTTATTAAACTAGTCTTTGCTTAAAAACATTAAAAATAATTTCCCACATCCAAAATAACAAGTATTATTGCAGTGTAACAACAGAATATTAATAAAAAAAATGCAGAATATATAGACATGCCTACTATCCCTAACTAACTAAAGCCAAACAATAATATTCTTTGATAATATCAACTAATACCAAAATATGGCAACAGCGCCCTTCATAATGTATTTTCTGTGTAAATACTAGCACCTTAATAAAAAAAATAATGTGTCCTTATCTATATCTGACTCCGCAAAAAATCAAAGATGCCGGCTTCTTTCATAGCATTGCCACCGACCGCTGTCGGGTCTCTCGGAAAGAAACCTACGTCGCGTCGCCGGGCGACAACTAAAATTCAGTTAATATTTTATTATAATCGATCCTGACGAATAAATGAATTTCATAAATGAATGAATTTTATAAATGAATGAATTTTATAAATGAATGAATTTTATAAATGAATGAATTTTATAAATGAATGAATTTTATAAATGAATGGTTTTGCTGCCGAATTACTAGAATACAATATTTCAAGGCAGATGACGGATCTATTCGATAATTTTATTCGAATAGTTTTTCAACGAATGTTTTCTTACTAACTATCGAATTATTCGAATGAACTGCAACTATCGAATCATTGAGAAAATATGAGGGATTGAAATTTGAAAAGTTTATTTAAACATTTATCAGAGTAAATGATGAGGATAAATTCCTTCGACCAATTTGCTGTTTTTTGTTATTATTTCTAGATGTTTTCGCATTTTTTCACTTGCCACAAGGTTGAACGATTAGGTGCAGTAGTTGCTGGATAGCTGTTCTGTGACTTGTGCGTTGAAGTTCTTCTCAATACCGTTAAACTTTTTAACAATTATGGTGTACTCACTTGCAGAAAAAGTGGAAATAATCGAACTTTATTTTAAAAATAATGAATGTGGCAATCGGGTTGGGCAGATATTCAATGAACGCCATCCTAACAAACACCTTTATGACAAAATTGTTGGCGAGTTAGTAGCAAAATTTCGCGAAACTAGTTCCGTTATGAATAAAAAGAGGCAGAGGGAAAATCCTGTAAGAAATGAAGCTATGGAGGTATTCGTATTAGGCCAAGTTGCCAAGTACGCTGAGTACAAGAAAATTAGCCAATGAGACCGGCGTGAATCGTATAAGCGTCCAAAGGATATTAAAAAAAGTTCCACCCGTACAAAATTCAGTTGGTACAAGAACTCAACGAAGACGTTTTAAAATAAAGTAAAATAAAGTTTATTTTTAAAATAAAGTTCGATTATTTCCACTTTTTCTGCAAGTGAGTACACCATAATTGTTAAAAATTTAACGATATTGAGAAGAACTTCAATGCACAAGTCACAGAACAGCTATCTCGCAACGACCGCACCTGATCGTTCAACCTTGTGGCAAGTGAAAAAATGCTAAAACATCTAGAAATAATAAGAAAAAACAGCAAATTGGTCGAAGGAATTTATCTTTATCATTTACTCTGATAAATTTTTAAATAAACTTTTCAAATTTCAATCTTTCATATTTTCTCAATGACTCGACCGATTTTCAAAAACGAAGCGGGAAAGTATAGATAATAGAAAACCCTTTTCATTGCGGTATCACTTGACCCCCCTTCCCATTTGAAAAAAATTGGGGGATGACACCCCCGCTCAGAGGGTTGAAGATTTTGCAATCATTTTTGGGGCAAAAGTTGTCCCCCTCGCAAACAAAATTGACGTGTTTTTTGGATTTTTTGAAAAAAAATACCCTGGCTGTTATGTCTTGCGGAACGTTTTCGATGGGCCACCCCGTATATATGGGTTTCCTATAAAGTAGTAGGAAAAACTTTGAACCGTGGTTACCCCTATTTACGGCAACTTTTTCATAGGCACCGTAATAACATCATGCACAGAATAAAAATAGCTTTAATTTTACATATAAATGATCAAAACATTTTATGAACGTAATGTCTCCAAAATCTGGTATTATTATTAATTAAACATAGTTGAGGCAACTTTTTGATTGGTACCCTCTTAAAAGTATATTCTCCTATTCAAAAATATACGTAAAAATTAGGTTTTGATAAAAAATCCTGTACTATAAACTATAAGTACAGTACGTCTGCTGGATCTGTGTCTATGAAAGGAATGCGGACAAAAAACATTTAAATAAACAGCAATTTATTTTATACGTCGACTTAACGAGTACGTCACCGCAAATCGCTCCGCCCACTCATTTTATTGGCTACTTGCTAATTTGTTGAATTTATATTGATGGGACGCGTCGTCTATTTTTTTACGAAAAACATCGAGAGAATATCGTTTCCCCCCTCTCACGGATACCCCGTAGCTACAGAACGAACAGACGTACTTGTATAGGATCAGTTATTAGGACAGGATAGAGTATTACTATTATGGTTTATCTCTTCATTTTTATATTTAATAAATATAAATAGTATGTGGTAAAATTAGACCGATTTTGTACCGGGTGGCCAACTAAGAATGCACGCCGGCTGTATCTCAGAAACTACTTATCGTATAACTTTGGGAAAAAAATTCTAATTAGTAAATCGACCAAGAGAAATCGCTGGAAATTATTTTCAAGTTCTAAAAATGTCCTCTAGGGGGCGTTTTTCTGATAGCCAATCAGAAAACAGGGTTTTTCTCAAAAATATGCAGGTGAACAGGTAGTTTAAATATTATTATTGTAATCATCGAGAAATTTGTCATTTTTCTAGGGACTCGTTTAAAAGAGCTTTTCTTCCTTAATGATCTTCAGTATAAATTTTGATTCTATAATTTTTTTCGTGGTAGTTAGAGGGTGCTGTTTGATATCATAACAGATATTGCGCTTTTGCATTAAAAATTTAAATCGGAGGCTATATTTCTCTTTGCACAGTTAAATAGAGCACAAAATTTCCAAAATATCAGAGCAAACCGCAACTTTCTATCTTGTCTCTAACCGGAGATATTAAGAGAACAAATTTTGTTAGGCTGCCGCTTAGGATTATATGGTCTAAAAATTATAGTAGTAGGCTAGGAAACAAAAAGAGGCAAATTGGTTACGTCAAAATTTCATAATATATATTTTAATTTCATTTTAATACTATTTAATTGTTATTTATCCATGTTCGCTCTTGATTCGACCCCATAAATTAAAACCCAGGCATATTGAATTCGATGACCTAGCTGGCCATGGAAATATGCCGCTCCAGCGTCTCTCTCTACTAAAGTAAGTGGTATCCAAGAAGCCCCACACATTCATAGCAAAATAAGCGACACAACTGCACTACTGCATCATCTACACCAACTGCATTCATGCTGATGAAATTGCGACAAATGCAATTTCATCATGATGGATCCCATAACCAAAATGGGCAATTCATCTCTTAGAAATTATGGATAGTTCATTTCATTCAGATAATCAATCGCCATCCTAGAATTCCTGCCTAAACATGTATCGACCAACGGTTTTGGTGCTGAACTCCTTGCATCCAGGGTAGATTTGGACCAGTAGTGCATATTGTTAACATTCGCACCTTCGGGGCTATATGAAAAGTGACCCATACGACATAAACTTTATAATATAATAATAAATAACACAAACAACAGGTAAAACACGAAAACAAGTGAAATCAAGAACGAACTTGGATTAATAGCTAAATGACGTTACATGAAATAAACCCCTAGTTTTCGGCCATACGAAATTTGGCCGTTTTCTGTTAAAAGCAATATGGTGGCACAAAATTCCTAGAAATTTTAATAAAATTATTGATTGTCCGACTTTCGGACATTATAATCTGAGAACTATCTATGTATAATTAACCAAGAAATTCGTAAAAATTATGTGGATGGACGATAATGTTACATAAACAGGTTTAAAAATTTATGGTTATCTTTTTTAAGAAAACGTCCGAAATTTGGATGCGGGAAAACTGAACTTAAACGTTTTGATATTTTGACGTAACCAATTTACCTCTTTTTGTTTCCTAGCCTACTACTGTAATCTTTAGACTATATAATCCTAAGCGGCAGCCTAACATAATTTGTTCTCTTAATATCTCCGGTTAGAGACAAGATAGAAAGTTGCGGTTTGCTATGATATTTTGGAAATTTTGTGCTCTATTTAACTGTGCAAAGAGAAATATAGCCTCCGATTTAAATTTTTAATGCAAAAGCGCAATATCTGTTATGATATCAAACAGCACCCTCTAGCTACCACGAAAAAAATTATAGAATCAAAATTTATACTGAAGATCATTAAGGAAGAAAAGCTCTTTTAAACGAGTCCCTAGTTTGTTTAAATCGGTTAACCTAAACCAGAGTTATCCTTATTTTAATAAAAGCAAGTTGAACCTTCCCCCACCACTTTATTTTTTGAGTTAGAGCAAAACACTCTATATCAAAAAAATTACAAATTTCTCGATGATTACAACAGTAATATTTAAAATACCTGTTCACCTACATATTTTTGAGAGAAACCCTGTTTTCTGATTGACTACCAGAGAAACGCCCCCTAGCGGACATTTTTAGAACATGAAAATAATTTCCAGCGATTTCTCTTGGTCGATTTACTTATTAGAATTTTTTTCCCAAAGTTATACGATAAGTAAGGATAAGTAGTTTCTGAGATACAGCCGTCGTCCATTCTTAGTTGGCCACCCGGTACTGCTTTTGTTGACCAAAAATAATTTCATGAATTTAGTTTTAGCTGCAATGGATTTAGGTATGTCGTTTGCGTTACTATTTGGAGGATTAAGTAAGGGAGTTATGTGGTTCCATGGTTGGAATACTTACGATTCTTTGATTGGTTTGCCACTAAGCGAAGCTATGAATACCCTTAGTGTTTTTGCTGTAGTGGGTCTAACCATTGGTAAATAATAAATTAACAATTAATTTATACTGTGTGGGTATTTCATATTAAGTTACAATTAGACTCGATTTTATTTTACTACATCACAAATTTTCAGTTATTTTTATAGGCATATAATCACTGTAAATTAAATGTTATATATTTAAATACTTAGTTATTAGGGACCAATATATCTTAAACTAAATAAAAAAGAATGGAATATAGCCTATTTTTTTTGGAGGAGATCCAAGTTAAAAAACCTCTTTCCCAAGAATAAGGTTTTTTAATTAATGATTAAAGCGTAAGGATCGACAAAAATAAAAGATGCTCGAGTGTTACAAATGCCAATATTTAAAAATATAATTAAAATAGCATCTAATATAAAAACAATGGTATAACAAAGTGAATGTAACAAAAACAAACAATTTTTATTAGGTACCTATAGTATTTTTTTTCTTTACTTAATTGCAATAAATTGTAAAAATTCTTCTTGCTGTAGTCTATGGAGAGTAAACATTTTTACTGGATTTTTTGAACGAGAGGATACATTACAGTCATAGATAAAAGAAAATAATCTACTATTAAGATAGATATGAAACTTAATAGTAAAATTTTGGGTCAAAGCGCCCCTCCGTGTTTTTAGTAGAGACTACGTTTAACCCAGCACCTTGGCCTTTTCTACTATAAATGTTTTTTATGTTTATATTTGAATTCAAAGGATTTATTTTTAAAGTTACCCTGATATATCAGAGTAACTTTAATAAAACATAAGAATATATATATTTTACAGTTTATTTTTTTATTTATCTGACAGAGTTTCATGTAAATGATCGTAAGTCGACTGGCTGTCTAATGAATAGACCGAGATTTATAGATTTTAAAGTGAACGAAAAAAAAATCAAACAACGAATACATACCATATATTTTTCTTTTATCTAAGATACACGCCTTATCGTCTTTTGGAAACACGTGCATTTTTGCAGTTTTGTTAGTTTCTTTGCATGATACAATAACGAAAGATAAGATCCTTGGCGGTCGCAAATCTGTTCTCCGCGCGCATGACGTCACTCGGGTAGTAATTTTCTTTTAAGCTCCGCCAACTTCATGCGCAATATCTTCTCTCACAAGATCCTTGGCGATGGCAAATCGGTTCTCCGCGCGCATGACGTCACTCGGATAGTAATTTTCTGTTAAGCTACGCCCACTACATGCGTAATATCTTATCTAACCGTTCTTGTATCATGGTTTCTTTGCAAGATGCATTGTCATTTTAATGCACGTTTGGGTTTATATAGGTAACCTCATCCGTCATCCTTTGTCAGTTTTGTGCAATTCTATTGGTTTATTTCCGAAATCATAGATCATAGCTCAACATGATATTAGTGTAACGACGACGGACGACGCATGACGGACGCATATAAACCCACCTTAAACTGTATTTTCGGTCATGTAATTTCTGGGCTTTCTGGGATCCCCGTAGAGTCTGCCCTGACCATATTGATATTATATTGGTCATGTGAAATTTTTATTATACGGGACGGCGATAGTACGTCGGGCATCTGTAGCTCCTAGAATAAAAAAAACTTGGAAATTTTGTTTAAGCGCAGACCTAAAGTATGTACTGGGATGTATTTTAGGAAAATATTTTAACTTCTATAGGGTGGCCCAAAAAAGTATGAGTGGATTGGGATTTTTTTGGAACATCCTGTATATTATTGCACTTTCTGCTTCCTTTCGGATCACTTAATTCATAATCCTAAGACTCATATCTTAGGATTATATATATTTCGATAGTTTCAAAGATATTAATAAACAAAAAATATATATTTCAGCCTTTCTTAAAAAAAATATTATAAATACAAGAACTATCTTGAAATCAAAACTATATTAGGTATTTACTTAAGATGGCCTGTACTCACTTTGCTATAAATATGGTAATCGTAAATCATACAGGACGTTCAAAATTTTACGCCAAACTTTCTAAAATATAAAATAATTTTTCGTCTTTTTTTAAATATGTATACCTGTACACCCTGTATATTATTTTTAAATAGATGGAGAATTAGAAAATGAACATTTTTTTAGAATATTTCAAAATTTTTAACGGTTTTGCAGATATTAGCGGTTTTATATTTCATATGGAATTTTCCACATTAAATTTTTATCAAAGACACGCAATGATTTTTCTCTCGAGTTTTACCGTTGAAAGAGTCATATGAAAGAATATTGTGTGTATCTGCGAAACCTTAAAAAAATTTGAAATACAAAAAATGTTTATTTTTTAACTCCCCATCTAATAAAAAAATAATATACAGATTGTTCCGTTAAAAAAAAAGCAAAGGAAATTTATTTTATATTTTAGAAAGTTTGGCGTAGAATTTTGTACACCCTGTATTATTTAAGATTACGATACTTATAGTAAAGTAAGTATAGACCATCTACAGTACGTCTGTCTGTTCTGTGGCTACGGGGTATCCGTGAGAGGGAAAACGATATTCTCTCGATGTTTTTCGTAAAAAATTAGACGACGCGTCCCATCAATAAAAATTCGACAAATTTGCAAATAGCCAATAAAATGAGTGGGCGGAGCAATTTGCGGTGACGTACTCGTCAAGTCGACGTATAAAATATATTGCTGTTTATTTAAATGTTTTTTGTCCGCATTCCTTTCATAGACACAGATCCAGCAGACGTACTTTAATGGTAATAATTTTTTTAAGGATGCTTGAAAAATATATATTTTTTATTTATTTATTAATATCTCTAGAAATTAATAAATCTAGAAATTAATCGGAATATATTTACTCATATCTTAGGATTATGTAAAGTGATCTGAAAGAAAGCCAAAAATGCAATAATATACCGGGTGTTCCAATTAAAAAAATCATCCTGATCCACCCACACTATCTTGAACCACCCTATAGAGGTTAAAATATTTGCCTGAAATAAATCCTAGAACATATTTTAGGTTTGCACTTAAACAAAATTCTCAAGTTTTTTATTGTAGGAACTACAGTTGCCCGACGCCCCATCGCTGGACTCTGTATATATCAGGAAATAGTTTTGGATTGATATGTGTTTCTAATTCGACTTTGAATCAAATTTTGTTTGTGATAAGATATGGATTAGGTATATATTACTATATTTTAAAATAAATTATTTTTAGATAGAGTTACTTATTTGTGGAACCCAGTTCAATGTACCAAACCAAAGTTTTGTCAGCCATGGGTGGCGAGACGTATAATGTTTATAAGTGTACTTATATCAATCGTTTATAACCTACCATATTGTTTCATATACACTTGGGATAGTGATGATTCCTTAACAACAACTGCTTTCTTTGATTCCAAGTAGGTGTAGGTAGATTTACTAAATTTAATATACAACAATTCGAAAAAAATCATTTACTTTCGTCAAATAATTTCTAGATCGCCTGGCTACGAATACAGGGTGTTCCTTAGTGACATGATAATATTTAATTGGGCGATTTTGGGACTTATTCTAAGAAAAAAACTTAATATGAATTCTGAAACATACTAACTTTTGAGATACAGACAGGATGGTAACATCGGCGTGATAATTACGCTTTTTAATAAGGAGGGGCCAAAGTTAAAGATTACGAACTGGAGAAAAAAATTGCGCCGCAGACGAAAATTTTTTTTATACGAGCGTGCGCAAAGTAATTTTCTGCACGCAGAAAATTGATTTTCCCGGTTTTCCAACGGTTTTTTTTGTGGATTTTCGTTTGAAGTCTTTTTTTATTTATTATTTATGTTGATTAGGGGGGACCATGGCCCCCCGGCCCCCCCGTAGGCACGCCTATGGATGGTAATATATTCTAAAAAAATCATAATAACTCTGTTGTTATTATACAGGGTGAGCCTTAATTAAATAAGTGCAAATATTTTTAGGGGTAGTATATTTCGATCCGAGAAAAACGATTATGAGGTCGCGAAAAAAAAATTTGAGAATTTTGAAAAAAAAAATTGAAATTTGGCACAATATAGGTAGTAGATTAAATTTACCAGAACCAGGAAACCCAGAAAAGATCCAGTGGTCCTTAAAATTTAAGCAAAAAAAACTCAACTCAACCTAAAATATGTTTCTTTTATCGAGATCTATCAGTCCTGAAAATATTTGCACTTATTTAAGACTCACCCTGTATATATCTTTACAAAATTTGATACACGTCTTCTATTCAATTTTGCTGTACCTCTTAATTTTCATCCAGTCGATGAAGAAACGATTTCCAACAGTCAGCGCATCAGATTTTTAACGATTTAACTATGAAGGCTAAAAGGTTTTTTAAACCCTCCATAGATTTAACCCTGAATTAATTCAAATTCAAATTTCTTTATTAGACCCCATTAAGTTTTACAGATTAATAATTATTCTTAATAAATGTGCGTTTAAAGGGATCGCACCGCGATTATAAAACCGATACAAAGACACAAGACAAGTGCCAGAGTAGTGCGACCCCAAAAACAAAATAGAAATAAATTAAATTAGAAATATAAACAGAATTAAAAAAATTAAAATTAGAAAAAAAGTGAAAATATAATTTTATCAGGGATGAGCGGCGATAAGCAGAGAGGCATAACGAAACAGTGTAAAAACCGGAACAGCAACCAATGACGGGCATATCAGAAGAACAAGAACCTCACAAATCAGTCGAAGAAATTATAATTTTTACGAATTTAGTAAATGATTTTTAATTTGTTTTTTATAATCTCTAAAGGATTGAAATTTAAAGTTATCAGAAATATTATTCCACAAATGTGGCGCTATGAAACTGAAAGCTTTTTGGAAGTTAGCTGTTCGGTGTTGAAGAATTTTAAAATAATGCACTTCGAATCACAGTCGAATGATCATGGTCAACGTAGTGGAACAATGAGAACAAATAGGGAGGCTGCTCTGTAGTTAAAATTCGATAAATGAATGTCATTAAATGAAATTGTCGTCTGTAGTCATGGATAAAATAGATACATTTTTAAGATGTGGCGTTATATGATCTCTAAAAGGAATGTTAAAAGAAAACGTAGACACGAGTTTTGAAGTATTTGGATTTTTCTGGAGAGTTTAGCCGTTTATGGATGTACCATAAACGACATCGCCGTAATCAAATAAAGATAAAATAAGTGTGTTACATAATTGACACTTAGTTTTTGATGGTATATATTTCTTAAGAGACGAAAAATTCTTCAAACGTATATAAGCAGCCTTTAATTTAGTAGTTATATGTGCCTGAAAAGAAAGCTTCGCATCAAAATAGACTCCAAGATTTTCAGTCTCTGTAATAATGGGTAACGCAACATTATCTATATGGATATTCATGTTACCAGCCGTATTTGTAATTTTGTTTATATCACTACCAAATACTATAACACAAGATCTACAGGCATTTCATTTCAAATTATGATCCAGACCATATTTATTAATTTTATTCAGATCGTCGTTAAAATTTAACTGAAATTGTGCCAAATTATTAATATCTATTTTGCAATAAATTTGAGAATCATCTGCATATTGCTGCAATTTAGAAAACTGTACTTCCTTATCCATGTCAGCTACATATAACGAAAATAAAAGTGGCCCCAGAATAGATCCCTGAGGAACCCCAGAAATCATAGGAATATAACTAGATTTTTGTTTTAAACTTCCCCGTTTCATGACAACACAATCTGATCTATCTTTTAAAAGGTTTTTTTTTAACAATTCTAAAGAGCCCTCTGAAAATCCAAAATACTGTAATTTTGCTAGGAGCAATGAATGGTCTAGAGTCTAGAGTATCAAATGCTTTACTAAAGTCTAGTAAGCTAAGACAAGTCATATTTTTATTTTCTTGATTTGTTCTAATATCATTAACCAGCTTCAGTAAACAAGTGGTAGTGCTGTAGTTCTTACGAAAACCAGATTGGCATTCAGGTATTAGTTTATTTGAATCTACAAATAAAACAATTTGATTATGTAGATTTTTTCTATAATTTTAGAAATTGCTGGCAAGTCACGGGTCTTAGATCGTTGTTATTTAAAGGTTTGGAAATTTTACAGAGAGGTGTTATTATAGCTTTTTTCCATATATCGGGATAGACATCTAAAATAGAAATAGTAATGTATGTAATGACTAATTTTTTTAAACCAAAAAAACTACGCGTCAGATGAAAAACACCAAGAGATAAAAACTGTTAAGAAAATAATGAACCTTTTCAGAATAATGTTTATTTTAAAAGAAGTTACTATGGTCACTGCTGTACATTAGTGTAACTAGCAATTCAATAGGGGGGGGGGGCTAGGATTTTTGTTCTTTAAAAAATATTAAAAACAGAACACATTTTTTAATAAACCGTTAATATGAATTACACTATCAATACGTTTGACAGACTTGGTTGGGTTTGTCTTTACCTTTGGTTTTATCCTTGTTTATATTAATCAAGGGTTTTACTATTTAAATACCTAAAATTTTTTAAAAAACATAAAGCACATTGTAAACACATGTAAAAAACACACAACTTTTTTTTTTGACACAACAAATTTTTTGAACTCAACAAAATAATATTAACTTAACAAAACTAGAAAAAGTAGTTTTTACTACATCACAAACAAATAATAATTATTATTTATAAACAACAACGGAAACGCGGTATAAGAAATAAAATTTTATAATAATACAATAGTAATTGTTAGTCCTCTAACTTCAACAGCTAAAGTCAAAATTTCTCTGGGAGAGGCCCAGACCGACATGAAGGGAGCCCGGCACCCCCAGCCCTCCTGTAGTTACGCCAACGGTGGTGCACCATTTTTTTCTTCAAAAATATTTAATGTAAAACCCGTGTGGACGCCACTGGTTGAAACAAATAAAATTGTTTGTATCCTATAGAGAAATTTTTATGATTAGAAGGCGTGTATCAAGTTTAATAAAGAAAATGGAAAAAAAAAATTAGAAAATTTTACTACCCTGTATCTCAAAAGGTAAAATATTTAGGATATACCTATACATTCATAAGAAATTTCAAGAAAAATCACAGATCTTCCTGGGTCTGAGTAAGAACAATCTTCGGATTGTCACGGGGTTTTTAACAGGACACTGTCTCCTCAATGAACACCTCAGTAGATTGAAACTAAGAAGAAACGGCGAATGCAGATTCTGTGGGGAAGATGGGGAAACACCAGTACACCTCATCACTGAGTGCGCCGAGACGACAACCATTCGTGCCATGAATTTTGGTACGACTGATATTGGAGATGGAGAACTACCCTCTATAAAACCGTCCCAGATACTGGCTTTTGTCAAAGCCCTGGGACTGTATGATTAGTTATGATTCAAGAAAGGGGGACACAATGGATCTGTAAGGTCGAAGTGATTAACCCCCCTCCCACTCATTCTAAATTCTAAAAAAAAATCCTATAGAGAAATTTTTATGTTTAGAAGGCGTGTATCAAGTTTAATAAAGAAAATGGAAAAAAAAATTAGAAAATTTTACTACCCTGTATCTCAAAAGGTAAAATAGGGTGATTTCGCCAGTAAGCTGGCCACCTCCAGTGGTCGGCCAAAAATGATTTTTATTGCTTATAATTTAAATTTCCCGCGAGTTCAGCTGCGCTTCATGGATTTTTTGTCTACTTTGACATAACTTTGACTTTCCAGGTAAATAGGTATCAATATTTCTTTCTACTGGGTCAAACCTTATCTCCCTAAATTGGCGCGCAAAATTAACCGTTTCGTCCGTGTCTTTGTGAACAAGTATTCAAAAATGGTGAAAGATCAAGAACAATAATTTTAAAGGTACGTTAAAATATTCCTAGATTAATTAACATTGTCAGTGTAGGTTTTTTAGGTAGAATATATGTTTAGATAATTAATAAATAGCCCCAAATATATATTTGTTCAAACTTTGGGTTAAAAATACAGTGGCCGGTTACTGGCATTAAATTATCGTAACGAAGCTAGTTCTCGGCCACCATGGCCGACTACTAGAAAAATTCAAGGAATTTTATTTTATCTTTATCTGGTTAATAAAAAATTATATAATAAGTAAATATTTCTCTCATTTTTTTTCATATAGTATAGGATAGCCAAAACTCTGGTACCAGTAGTCGGCCGGACTTAAAATGAATAATAACATTTCTATAGGATGTTAAATTTGATGGCCGATTACTGGCAACAGCAGAAATTGATGAATGTACCAGTTGTCGGCCATACGTTTTTTTAGGTGGTTTCGCCACATTTTTTTAGTTAAAAAATGTTTTTTTTTTAATTCCAGAAAATGATGCGCCCTAGAAAGAGAAAGTTTCATCAATATTCTGAAGAAAATATTGACAAGGCTTTGAATTCTATAAGAAACGGGGCCACAATTCGCGAAGCTTGCAGGAATTACAGTGTTCCACGTACAACTGTACAGGACCGGCTCTCGGGACGAACATTAAGTAAGCCCCGGCAAATGGGACCTGATCCTTACCTAAGTATTGCTAACGAGAAAAAATAGTGAATTGGATAATTCAATTGGCCAAATGTGGATTTCCGATAAAAAAACAGGAACTTATTTTGACCGTACAAAATATTGTTTTAAAAGAAAATATACAAACTCCATTTAAAAACAGCAAACCGGAAGAGAAATGGTACTCCTCTTTTCGCCGTAGACATCCCGAAATATCCGACCGTTTTGCTGATATTATTAGTTTGTTACAAAACCTATCATGAAAAATAAAAAATATAAGTAAATACGGGTCTGTATTAAAAAGACGCAATTTCTGACGGCCGAAAACTGGTAAGGTCGCGGCCGACTACTAGGTCATTAAGGGCCGACTACTAGAAAAAGTGCTATTTCAGAAAAAAAATAAAAAATAAAATATTTCAATGTATTCTAGGCTATTTCTTTCTTACTCCCTCTCCTAGTACATGTATATGCTTGAGAAAGAGAGGTATATAATTATTTTAAAATCAGAGCGACCCAAATTATTAAAATACATAATACACAATGATCAAAAAAGGCCGACTACTGGCGAAATCACCCTATTTAGGACATACCTATACATTCATAAGAAGTTTTTTTTTAGAATAGGTCCAAGTATCACCACCTTAAATATTAGTATGTCATTATGGAACACCCTGTATACTGTATAATAGTGTATATTACATATATTAATATTCATTTTTAAAACAATCACGAATGCAAAAATATTGTTGCGGACCGGTGTGGACTCGACCTAACCTAACTATATGGCCCGCCCTCGGATGACCTTAACATCGCATTAAAGAATAGACACCGTAATGATTCATTCGAAGATTCGAGAAGAATCGAGCAAATGCCGTATGATCGAAAAAAAACGGCGTCAGCGATGGCTATGAAATGAAGATCGCTCTCATTTTATTTGTAAATTTATATGGGAAATGTCATCGATCGTAATTTCCTAGCCAACTGGACGCCGCGCGTTTTTTTCGACCATACGGTATCATCGTACCTCACCAACAGTTGTGCCATCTATCCTAGTAGAAAGTACCTATTCAGGACTGTATTACACAATCGCCATTCGCTTTGGCATTAAACATGTAAGTACCAAATTTCAAGAAAAACGAAAAATATATATTATTTTTATTTACCCTTTCGAGAGCTGTAACTTCCTCGGGATACATTTTAGGGCATATTCATAGGAACTTTATGTTTTATTTTTATCTGTAGAGTAACCCACCTATGTTAGATACACTATTTTTGTGACCCTGTATATTTATAAGAAAATATAGCCGATGGCGTTTTCGCGCGTAATTGGCCGATTTAAATTTCGATGTTGAATAACTTTGTTTTATAAAAAGTAAGAAATATTTGGTTTTGTTAATATTTAATTTGATTTAAAATTTTTTTAAATTGGCATTGAAAATATACCGTATGATCGAATAAAACCGGCGTCAGCTATGGCTATGAATCGTCATCTCCAAGCAAACTGGACGCCGTTTTTTTTTCGATCACACATTTAGTTCATTATGAAACCTACGTATCTCGAAGAAAAATTCTGCGTGTCCCACTATGTTAAGATACCTACCTATATACAGGGTGGTCCTAACTGTAATCCGGAAACTTCGGTAGCATATTCTGCAGATAAAAATAAGTAAAAAAGTTCGTATAAACGTATGTCCTAAAATGCTTGGTTTCGAAGAAATTTCATTTTTATTTCAATTTTTTCCAAATCATTTCTGAAGTAACGTCAATATTTGGATGAAAATTGGGGTCTGGTATTTTTTTGACATGAAACATTTGATTTTGATGTCAATATGACTTTTACTAGTAGAGGGCACCACCTACACATTTTTTAACTGGTTTGAAGATTAATAACTTTTCGTCCGTACGTGTATAAAACTACTAAGTAAAAAATACACATTTACGACGTTTTTTACGTAAAAAAGATCTCTTGGTAAAAATCGCTACGAGTAAAGTTTTCAAGATAGTTGGAATCGAAATTTGATCCTGTCATCATTGACATAAATTAAACATGTTGACTAAATAGTTAATAGTTATGAGACTGAAATTATAAATTTGAAATGTTTTTGTGCCAAAAGTTCAATAGAAACTGCTTTATCATTTTTTGCAGAAAAATTTAACATTAATTATTAAAAAAAAAATAAAAATTTCCCAAATTTATTATTTATCTCTAATCACGTTTTTATTTTTTCGTCAATAATAACATGTATTGACTATTTCTATTCTAAATATCTTGAGAACGGTTGCTCGTAGCGATTTTTACAAAGAGATATTTTTTGCGTGAAAAGTCACAGAGATGTATATTTTTTTCCTCGGTAGTTTTATACAGGTACAGACAGAAAGGTATTACGCTTCAAAACAGTTAAAACACATGTAGGCGGCGCCCTTTATTAGTAGGGGCTTTGAAGTAGGGGTCATATTGACATCAAAATAAAATTTCTCATGTCAAAAAACTCCCATACACCAATTTTCATCCAAATATTGACGTTACTTCAGAAATTATTTGGAAAAAATCGAAATAAAAATGAAACTTTTACACCCTGTATCTCTGTAACTAAGCATTTTATGACATATATTTATACGAACTTTTTTACTTATTTTTATCTGCAGAATATGCTGCCGAAGTTTCCAGAACACAGTTTGGACCACCCTGTATATGTATAGTATAATAAAATTGACCGACCTATCACGTAGAAGCGATTGGAGTGCTATCGAAGAAAGATAATTTGTATTTGGCTAATTAAAAAAATACCTGAACTCGTAAAAATCATTAAAGTTAAAGATTCCGTTGGTATACGGCTGTTTGAAATCTAAAACCCATCGCCTCCGTGGCGCAATCGGCTAGCGCGTTCGGCTGTTAACCGAAAGGTTGGTGGTTCGAGCCCACCCGGGGGCGCAACTTTTTTATTTTTCTAATAAATTTTACAACAAATGTACGCTTGAACTATATTATGACTAGTATTAAAAAAATTAGTACAAAGGTAAAAATATAAAAATTTAAGAATCTAATAAGCAGAAATTTTTTTGGTTCGTTAAATTTTGTTATCTTTTCGAATTATTCTACTGTTTTTACTTTATTTTATTTTAGGTTTTATTTAGCTTTCAATTGGATTACGTTATTTACTTTTGCGGTTATACCCGCAGTTATATTATTATTAGGAAATGGATTTCTGATAATGTCGTTAAGGAAAGCGATGAAAATAAAAAAGAGGTCATTGTGTAGCAAGAAATGCAAAAGAAGAGTAAGTATAAAGAAGTAGATGTTCTCTTTAGGTTTACAATTTTTTTTTAAAGTGAGAGTGATATAAGATATAAAATATATTTTTATACGGGTTGACTAAAAGTATTTTAAGATGGAATTTAGATATAAATTTGTATATTTCAAGTTAAGTTCTTTCTTTCTAAAATATTTTCGTATATGTATTTTTAAACGTAAATTATTGCCAAAATTACTTATTCAATACGCTATATACAGGGTGGCCGAAAAAAATGCTTTACTGTAAATAATACAATTAAAATAAAAGAGTACAATTTCAGAAATATTATAATTTATTTGAAGAAATGTTCAAATTGTTTTACCTTGTACAATACATAAATTACAGTGTTTGATGACTGATTTACATATTGCTGGGCACAAGCCATCTTGTATAGACAAAAGGAAGAAACTTGATCTCGATGCATTCCTTTAACTCGTCCAAGGTATTTGATTCTTGTTTGTACAGGGTGGAGACAACGATAGAGTAAAGACTATCATCTCATTTGTCCGGGGTTTACAAAAAAATATTAAATGTAAAAGTTATAAGGAAGGTTAAGATACACATTTTAAAATTATTATAGAGTATACAGGGTGCTTCAAAAAGGTGTGTCGGATATAAAATACATGTTTTTTTAAATGCACACCCTATTTTTTATTTTATTTTTAGATTCTGCGTAAAATTACATAATTTTTTTTATATATAATGTTATATACCTAAAATTAATAGTTTTTGTAATATTTAAATTTGTTTAAACAATTTTTGCAGTGTGGTAAAAATTTGTCAGTGAAGCCATTGTTTCTAAAGTTGGACAACTAAAATTTGGTAGGAGAATTTTATAGAGATATAGAATTGACATATGTAAAGATATTTTAGTTAGATGCTACAGGGTGTTCAAAATATATTTATGAATTTCAAACTACTTAAAATACTTCTCAAATTTTTTAATAATTGGTACACCCTATATATTATCATTTTTTCTAATATATTTTACAAAACTCTTCAACTTTTATTAAATATGTCATATATGCCAACTTCTAAAACAATGGCACCACTGACAATTTTTTACCAAACTGCAATTTAATATTTGCTTTAACAAATTTAAATATTACAAAAACTATTAATTTTAGGTATATAACATTATAAATAAAAATGTTATGGAATCTTACGTAGAACCTAAATATAAAATAAAAAATGGGGTATGGCGTAAAAAAACATGTTATATCCGCGACGCTTTTTTGAAGCACCCTGTATACTATGCAGCACCTTGTATACTGTATAATAATTTTAAAATGTGTATCTTAACCTTCCCTATAACTTTTAAATTTAACATTTTTTTTGTAAACCTCGAAACAAATGAGATAATGGACTTTACTTTATATCGTTGACTCACCCTGTACACCGCATCTTTTAAAGAAAAATCACACAGTGTTATGCTACATGATCTCGGAGACCTGAGTTTGGACGTTTTTGAAGTAATTTCAGTTTTATGTCCAAAATGACATTTGGAGAGCGAAAGTCAAACATTTTTCTGCAACAGTGTTAGAGAGTAGATCTCAGCGGAGCAGGAATACGGAGATACCTCCAACTACTCCTTTGTTCTAGAACAAATCTGTCAATTCTGAACTGTGAGTTAGACAGAAGAGATATACTGTCCTCGTCTAAACGGCCATACTTGTCGTCGGGAGAAGACAGGAATGACACTAATTACTGTTTCCAATTTTCCTATTTCACTGTCACCCCCCTGTGTATACCCTCGTGCCCCCGTAGGAGGTAGATGTCCACTCCTCGGAGGTCTCTCCATCTGTTGTCAGAGGAGGATGGGTAATGCCCTGTCCCCCCTACAACAAGAAAATCGCAATGTATGATGAGTTTTAGACCGTCTGATGTAGTTATAACCAAGTTATAACTGAAGAAAGGGGGACACAATTACTGTCCTCCATTCACGCAGTTGTGCAGCTCTGAACTGTTCAAGAACGCGATACTCTCCCTCCATTAAATTGAGTCATAAAGTTCAGAACTGTTCCGCGCCATATGGAGGCACCAGGCTATCGCGCACAGCTCCTTTCAGAACCGTTCTCGAGTAGCCCAGGGCGTAAAGCTCTGGAACTTGAAATTCGCGAATGAAGGATAGTAAATAGACCTTTAAGGTGGCGGTGATTAACCCCCTTCCCACTCATTCTACATTCTAGGCTCCAGAGAGAAACTAATAACTAAAGTGAGAAGGCTTGTGGAATAGGGCATTTCGTAGACAAGTTTATTTTGTCACCGCGCATCCCAGACGCGCATAGCGTTTAGGCGGTCAAAAAAGAAAGTTTTCAACTTTGCAAGTTAAACATTTGCCAGGATTAATTAGATTGTCAGTAGCTTTTTCTATTTCTTAGGTTTAGAAGGAGATAACTAAAATCTGTTGATAATCGGAGCAAATCGGAGTAATAAATTGTTTTTGACTGAATGTGCCTGTTCTTTTAGCTTGTTGAAGAGAGAGAAGCTTATTTCAGATTCCACGATTATTCGGCATTTTTGTAATTTTTGTTTTGTGGTTGAGACCCAGACAAAACGTTTCATTTAAAGGTAAGTTTTATCTGGTTTTATCTCGGTAATTATTTTAACATACCTAATAGTAATAATGAGTGCACATAATAATCGTACATTGCTAATTTAATTTTTTTAATTTAAAACATCACATTCTTTTCTGATACCTATGGAACGACTAGGTATTGTACCTGGTCAGAGACAACTTCCTGGTATTATTTCCAGTAATATAAATTATTTTCTTCAACTGCTAGGTTCTTGTTATAGAATAAAGACTATCAGAAACATTGACTACCTACGGGATACCTACTGATACTCTGTGCGAGCTCCCGACCGTGCTTCCCTGTTCACTCCCAACCAAGTTAGATAAAAAAGATACTGAAGATTGCAGCCTTGAGTAGAAGTATGGCAAGGAGTATGAAGTTAAATAAATTATTATGTTTCTACACAGTATTTTATTTATAGGTTTTAATACTTTAAAGTCTAATAATAAACTTTCGTTGTCAACAAAATAATCTAAAAAAACTACGAAGATTTCTTTTTATAAACTTGAAAGATTAAGATTCGGTTCAAATATACAAATTTTAAATTTTTGGCGCCAGTATATAGGTATGAATGCAACCTACTATATCGATAATGCGCTCATAGTTCGGGTTAGACGCCAAAGGCCGCGCCACTAACACAGTCTTCAAAAATTAACGTTGATCGGTCTCTCTCACTTTAGTTATTAGTGTTCTCTCTGCTAGGCTCCATACCTACTCACCCTGCGCTGATTCGTCGATTTAATGCGTTCATGTGTCAATACACGCATAGTGAGATTAGTTCTGTTATCTATGATAGTGAGTATGATGTGGTTTGTCGATACGATTCGTTAGTTCGTTTGGCAATTCGTCAATTGTGTTCGTGATATTTCTCTGATGGTTCGCCTAAATACCGACATTCTGCCGAACTGCCGTAATTTTTTATAATACAGGGTGAGTGCAAATATTTTCAGCGCTGGTAGATCTAAAAGAAACATATTTTCTCTTTACCGTTTTTCAAATAAACGAGTTAGTTTACTTTAAAAATTTCCAAAAAAAATACTTTTTGCTTAAATTTTGTGAATCACTGGGTCTTTTCTGTATTTTCTTTCTTGTAAATTCCAAATTTTCAATTTTTTTTTTCGTGAAAAGAAAAACTCATAATCGTGTTTTGGGGTACTACCACTAAAAATATTTGCACTTATTTAAGAGTCACTCTGTATAGACATTATCATAAAATATATATTATAATTCAATTTACTTCTAAATTTAAAAAAAATATATTAAAAACTAACAGCTAGGCTCCACTTTCGGCCCTTCGCAGCACCTACCGGCTGCGTCTCAAAAGTGGCTTACCCCTATAACTTTTTTATTTTATCAGATAAAAAAACGAGATTTGGTATGTTTTAGTATATGACATAAATTAGGATTGATTGATGTATTCAATTATTGTTTTCTGTCACTTACTGTTTCACCGGAAATGAACACAACTTTTGATTTTTAAATGACACCCTCGGTATTTTTTTACTTTATTCGATAGAAAATGACTTTCTAAATAGAATGACATATCATATATGTCAACTTTTGACATTTTAGCTTAAAACAAAATTGAATTTAAAATTTCAATCTAGAGTGCCATGGCTGTGTTAAAAACACTAATTTTTAATCAAGGAGCCTTAGAAAAATAGAGTTGATCGTCTAATATTATTCGTGTCTTGTCCAGGCCGGTTAAAAGATGACCAAATCGTATCTTTAATCATATCCCATTTTTTTAAATGGAACGAGTGTGGCTCATTAGCATATTTGGAAAAAGTATTTTTTTACGAATAATTTGGTATCACACACTTGGCATTTCGAGTGAAATTGTCGTTATGAATCGCATGTTGCAATTTCAAATAAACCATATTCGAAAATGTCAAAAGTTGACATATGATATGTCATTCTATTTGGAGTGTCATTTTCTATTGAATAAAGCAACAATATACCGAGGGTACCATTTAAAAATCAAAAGTTGTAGTCATTTCCGGTGAAACAGGAAGTGACAGAAAACAATTGAATACGTCACTCAATCCTAATTTATGTCATATATTAATATACCAAATCTCGATTTTTTATCTGAAAAAATAAAAAAGTTGTAGGGGTGAGCCACTTTTGAGACGCACCCTGTATAATAACGGTCCTGCTTAAAATCCACACTTCTTAATACCTTGTTTTTAGGACCACACTCATTTAACTATAACGCTAGTGATGATAATTGTGTTTTTTCTGATGACAAACATTCCTGAAAATTTAGTATCCAGAACGGCGGCCATCAATCTACTTTTTCGTGGTGATCACGATAGAGCAAACACTGAGCTTATAGAAAATCTGCGACAAGCATATGCCATCATTGGCGCAATCAATGTTAATATCAATTTCATTTTCTACTATACATTTTGCCCGGCCTTTTGCAAGGTTCTAACAAACGTTTTGCGTCGAAGAAAGAAGATTGTTTCAAAGCGATTGCAAGTAAGTCAAATATATATTCTTGATACCAATTAAACTTAAAGTTATGTAATCGAGGACGCGATTTTTAAATTTATTGTTGCCAACCATGGCAACATATTCGTCACCGGTCTGACTAACTGGAATTTAAATTTTCCGCTGGGGATTCAGGTGGTAGCTCTGCTATAAAAAATGTCAAGTTGCCACATTTATTTATTTATTTCCTAATGTTGTCGTTCGACATTCGTTTTGACGTTTTAGTTTTGTATTACGAGTTTTTGGTTTAAATTAGTTGTGTTGTGATACTTTAAGCTTAAAAATGTTTACTAGCAGACGAACATTGTTCTTTTTAGAACCTCTTTTAGTCCGAAGTATACAATATAGCTTTAATAATAGTTATGATAGCGTCAATATAAAGTTAATATAATTATTTAAAACACAAAAATGACGCTACTAAAACATCTAAATAAAATTCATAAAATCGACGTACCTATCCTAATTATTTTTGACAAGTAAGTAATGACAATTTGCGAAGTCTCTGTCTAAGATTTGTAATAATCTCACTACAATCTCAGACAAAATGTCTTTGCATATTTAGACATTTTACATAAAGTAATTTATTATAAAATAAACAAGAAATACACTGACGCATCAGTCTGAGGAAGATGCTCTCTCCTTGATTATTCCATATGTAAACGAAACATCAGAAAAAATCAGACGTATAGCCATATAATATAAAATTAATAATGTCTTCATATCTGGAACGACTCTAAGAAGCGTCTTAAAAATCAAAACGGAAACATCCAAACAAGAGAAAGAGTGCATCTACATCTACCAGGTATATTACTTAAATAGGTGATTATACTTTGTGAATGCGGTGGGTCGTATATTGGAAAGACAAAACGTCCTCTAAATTTACGACTTAACGAACACAAAAAAAATGTACAAAGAGGTGAAACAATGAAGTCAAGTATTGCTGTACATGCGGTGCAATATAAAGTGGTCGGAAGCTCGGGTTCCCCACAATGAACCTCATTTGAAAAAAAATTGGGTGTGTACTATGTGTACTAGTATTTGGTATTTTGTACAGGGTGGCTCGAATTCGACGCTCATCATTGGGATTTCGGAAACCGTAAGAAATACAGGATCGGTTAAATCGAGACAAAGTTGCGCAATTTGATGCACAATAAAATACCTTATTGTATTTTTATTTTTTATTTTTTTTGCGTAAAATATTCTGGTGATGGAATTTTCTGTACGAAACGTCGGCAAATATCAAAGTGACTATATATAGTGTTTTAAGAGCGATGAAAGGATTTAATTAAATTGAAAAAAAATCAGGTCCGTATTTAAAAAAATTAAGTTGATGATGGTCGCCAGAAGCCGAAACGTCAGAGTCAATATTTAATCACACAGAGTTATAGAGCGGAAAAAGTGGCCATGAAAATGTGTTTTTCATTTTAACTTATTTTAATAAATAAAGCCAGGAAACAATAGAAAACAAAATTGAAAATTCTGTTTTTTTTCGAATATATTCGGAAGTATTCGGAATTTTTCAAAATACAATACGGCATTTTATTGAGCATCAAATTGCGCAACTTTACCTCCATTTAACCGATCCTGTATCTCTTACGGTGTCCGAAATCCTAATGATGAGCGTCGAATTCGAGCCACTCTGTAGATGCGGTGCAATATAAAGTGGTTGGAAGCTCGGGTTCTCCACAATGAACCTCATTGGAAAAAAAATTGTGTGTGCACTATATGCGCATATTTGAGGTGAAACTTCTTACTATAACAGTTAATTAAATTGCAGGATTTGGAGGGTATATTTGAAAAAGTGTAGTTTGAAATGTTGAAAAAGTAATAAATTAAAAATTAATAAATAATTTGATTCACTTTCACAAAATTTGTATTAAAATAACCGTCTGTCCGCTTGGGGCCTCCATTCGGGTCCCAAGTAGCAAAATTACGTTGTTCAACGTAATCACAACGTCGCCAGGAGCAACCCAACGTTGCCGGACAACGTCGAAGCGACGTTTAAGCGACCCATATTTGCACCAAAATGGTGGATGTTTTTAGGGTCGCTACAACGTTGGCGACCTTGTTTGAGGCGACGTAGTACGTAGTGTGCTAAAAGTTGTTTTTCATGCCGATTCGCGATATTTTGAGGTTAGAGTTAAAAATATTCGTCGTCAAATATTGCTATATTCAACCATGGGGAAACCAAAACATTGATTTCGATTAACTTTAATTAGAAGTAGAATATATTATGCTCCATTAAGAAATAACTAGGTGAATTTAACTTCGACAAATCTGCAAATTTTTGAGATGCCGGCAATCGAAATTCATCAACGAAGACTAGTTTACTGTTGAAACTGACCATGATACTTCGAAATATGGCAAAACACCCTTTTATTACCTAGTTTTATTTTTAAAATATAGCTTACTTGGTTAACCTAACTTTTTTTTAAATTTTGAGACAAATATGCGAAATCTATCAGGAAAATTAGATTACAACCTTAACAGATAGGTACAGTTTTTTAAAGAAAATTCGCAGTATTTTGTGGTTTCTGATATTTTATTCGATTCTTCCACAACGCACGAAAAGATAAATCGTATTAAAATGGCGGAGTTGCCTAAGGCAACCTTTAAAATACCAAAATAGTGCATAAGGTGCGGTAACCGACCTTTGGGTCACCTATGCCAACCTTTGGTTCAAAAATTGACACCTGCTTTGAAGAAATAGGACCTCTGAACCCTACCGACATCTAGGAGGTAAATAAGAAAATTCCTGCTTAAGGTTGTCGCCCACTAGACCGCGAACCACGAAATTTTTTTTGTCTGCTTGCCATGTATTTAAATGGACCAACGCACATTAGAGCGCGCAGCGCCGAAGCGCGCCGCGGAATTTCTGTCAAGAAGTCGGAAGACTTCTCTAGCAACTTTTTTCCGCCTCCCGCGTTTCGGCGTGTTGCAGTGTGCGTAGTCACAACGGAAATAATTTTGCATTCGAGTCTCTTCAGTTGGTTTTTTGACTAGGAACTGATGATATGTGTCAATGGTAGAATTGTATTTTTAAAGGTAAATTAGACAAACAGATTTTCATAAAGGAATATATATTTTTAGTCTTCCCTCACTAGAGACAGATGGACGAAATGTCTCTATCAAAGATTTAATATAATTGAGGGGTGTAGAAGCAAAACCGGCGATCTCCACCAAAGTCTCCACTCTTTGACAAAAGTGATAATCTCCAATTTTTAAACTGTAATTACATAAATATATAAAAAAGATTAGGGTTTTTTCATCACATAACTAATATACACATCAGAATAAATAAGAATTATCAAAAGTCGTCAGGTATAAGCGATTCATTATTGCATTATTAGTAATTTGTCTCTTCTGAAAAAATATGAGTAAGAGTTACCCGGTGTTTTGCTTCTAAAACCCTCAATTGAGGAGTTCGTAAAATGTTTCCTTTATATTTTATAATACTGAAAAAAATGCTTTTGTCTTTTATTAAATCAGGAAAAAGATGGTAAAATTCTCCAAACTTCTTTCTTTTTTTTTGTTAATCTTATGAGTCCAAACTTTCATTTTCTTCTTCACCTGCTCTTCCTCTGTTAGAAGAGCACAAAAAATACGCTTTCATCCGTACTTGAACTCATTGCTTTAAAAACTAAACTGCAATAAGTAAAAACACTTCGACTAACTAAATAGCGTTTCCGCGTTTCAAAAGCGCGCTATAGTGGGCGCAGTCCCTTCGCAGCTTGAAAAAATTATCTTCCCAGTATCTTTACAGTGCTCTTTTTTGAACAATAAAATAAAGAAGAAAGCTGGGTCATCCTTTGGTGGTGGTGGTCACATAGGTACTCGTTAATAAGATCGCTGACATTAGATCAGTATTTCTATTTATTTATTGTTAAAAAAGCCGTACAGAAAGTTTTGTTGATTGTACCACTCATATGAAAATTAAAATCTAATATTCTCTTCAATTTATGCTGAAACTGAACTTCAGTTGACTGCTCTTCTGGAGGATCATTATTCTCATAGTATTCCTCTGTTGTATGGGCTTCAGGTGTACTGTTATTTATTTCTATAGTATCCATTGATGATAAGCTACCACTAGTAGAACTATTAGTTTTCAAAATTGAAGTGGACGTTTCTTCGATACATGATTGCGAGGATGTGGATGACGAACCTAAACTCGTTATTTCCACTTCATTTTTCGGACACTGACTTGCTCGCTGACTTTCTTCTAAATACTTTTTTCTTTTTCTATAAAAAGTTGTAGAGTATTTATATACTTTTTTCCTATATATCTTCTTCTCGCTTTACACAGTAAGTACCAAGTACCACAGAAAAAATACCTAAACTATTGTTCTGTGACAGTACAGTACAGAATTTTTTAGGTTAGGTCTACACCTTTGGTCTACACTTAACTAGTTCTACTAGTGGTGGAACTATCTACATAGTTCCCCGCTTCCATAACAAAAATCGATATCGTCGCACTCGTCGCCGTAATCCAACGTAGTAATTGGTTATAATTTTGAAGTTGCTTTTGGTCGTTTAGTATAATTTAACAAAATTACTGTAAATGTAAAACCTCTGACGAGGTTAAACGTTTAGTTAAAATTACTGTAAACCACTATAAATATCTTATTGGATAGGTTCAAAATTTTTTCTCTTCTTAAATAAATTTGGCAACGGCTCAGCTACGTCGAAACACCGGTTCCCATTACAACACCGAAGTTAAGCGACGTAAGGCGATACTAGTGGATGGACGGGTGACCGGTTCGAAACTCTGTATCTTGCTGTTGTCCAAAAAAGGCAAAAGTGTAAAATCTATTGACACACACTGCTCATTCACGCCGCGCCGGTTCGAGGCCGGATGAGATCGGATATCTCGTGAGTTAGAGTCGATTTAGACACTTGCCAAGTCGGTAGGTCATTGACCATGATATGGTCGAGGACCGCGGTTCGGATTTCGCGTAAACAAAGTAGACCTCGTCCAGATTAGCCCTGGCAGCAAAAAGATGACGTTAACCGAAATCTTTACTTTACTTTTAAATAAATTTAAGCGTTAACATTATTAGGCACTTGATTAAAAATATGTATTTTGGGGAAACAGAAAATGTGCAGGTTGCAGAAATAAATTGAAAATTATTTTATTAATAAAAAAAAACATTTATATTTAAAACAGCATTATATGGATAGATAAAAGAAAATAATATAATAATAGCTCCCGTATATAGCGTTTAACGCCTTGGGAGTAGCAAGGTACAGCTTGCTATACTAGAGCCGTTCGGTATACAAGGAAGGTAATGTAATGTGGCTAGCATTACGCTTCAACCGCCTATTATTACCTCAGGATTGTGAATCCCAAGTACTCATTTTAAGGCTGAGTCGACCTAGGTACCCAAACTATTTTTATTTTAATAAAAATAGTCGGCTGATGAAATGCCGGGTGTGGGATTCGCAACCAAACCAAACCAAACCTTGAGATTCGTAGACGAGAGCCTGTACCTCTACGCCACCGGGCCCCTTTAAAAAGAAAATAACCACCTATTATTATATGTCACTTTTTCAGACATGTCCTTCAAATTCTCCAATTTAACAGATGTTAGTAAGAAGTTTCACTTCAAATATGCGCACATAGTGTACACAGAATTTTTTTAGAAATCTAATAAGTATAAAAATATCTACGATATGGCAACCACTTATAAAACACACAAATGTAGGAATTCTCAGTGGACAAAGTCATACTTAACTGCACCCAACTTTTTCACGGGTAAATGCCTTGCTCTAGTTATAAGCTCAGTAGTTTTGGGATTCATCACGGTTATTGATACATCTGACCGAAACGTTGTGAAAGTTAACATTCCGAAGACAGTGGAAGGCAATGGAAGTCCAATATCCTTTTAGTTTTCATAGTAAATCATTGTCAAAAATATTCAAAAAACAGAAATGCAACTCGTAAAAATTCAAATTTAACTATTGCAGTCAAATCAGCTTAGCTTTCCTTCGTTTCCAATGTCAGTATCACGATACACATAAACAGTCAGTATATTAAAATACCGTATGATCAAAAAAAAACGGCGTCCAGTTGGCTTGGAAATGAACATCGATGACATTCCCCACATAATCTTACATATGAAACGACAGCGATCTTAATAATAATAATAATAATAATAACTTTATTGTGCAAAAAGCCAAAATAGCTTCATCGACCAAGCATTTACAAAACAAACAAAAGCACAAAAAATATACAAATAATAAAAACTATACAATACAAATCATACAATTAAAAAAAAATTAAGTCATTAAAATTACAAATAGGACATACATGGACATTGCAGAACACAAAAAAGGCGTATCAATAAAATTTTACAATAGGAAAATTGTAAATGGATATAATTTTAAGAGTTATAAAATATTAAATACTCGACTTGTGACCAGTGTGTGAGATGATCAAAATTTTAAAATTCAAAATTGTTCATGATTAAACATCAACAAAAAAGTCGTTTACCGCATATAGGGTAACTGGCTCTCTCCAGTAAGTATGTTTTCAGAGCTTTACGAAATGCGGGAAAGAATGAAAGCGACTTGATATTCAAAGGCGGATGATTGTACATTTTTTTGGCATTGTACAGTATTGAGCCTTTAACTAGTTTTGAGCTCGGGGTTGGCAGATAAAGATCGTGCTCCGCATTCCTAAGTGGATAGTTGTGAGATGGCCTTTCGGGAATAGCAGATATGTGATTGCGGATTAAGCAAACGGATTCAAAAATGAATAAAGAAGGAAGAGTCAGTATTTTGAAATTTTTAAAGAAATTCTGTCATTGAGTTCTACTGTTCAGTCACAATAAATATCGAACTGCTCTCTCTTTTGAAGTTTGAAAATACGATCAAATTTTGTCGCGCAGCAAGTATCCCAGAATGGAAGGGTATAACGAAGATGCGACTCAAAAAGGGCATAGTAGACTATTCTAGAGGTTGATAAGTTAAGTTCCTTCGAAACTGATCTTACCGGAAAACAGGCAGCACTTAGTTTCTTTGATAAAGCTTCGATGTGCAAGTCCCATTTTAACGAGCTGTCTACAAGTCGTAAGAATTTCACAAAGTCCACGACGTTAAAAGTGGTGTTATTGAGTACAAAGGGTTGTATAGTACTTTTATATGACAAAACTTTAGTTTTTGATAGATTGAGGCATAGGAGATTAGAATCGCACTAAAGATTTAATGGTGCGTAAGTCACTGGATATACTATTATATAGTGCCGAAACATCTGGGCCGGTCCAAGTGAAACTAGTATCGTCCGCAAAGAGGTAGATTTTACTTTTAGATTTTTATTTGCAATGTCGTTGATAAACTTCATTCCATAGCCATCGCTGACGCCTTTTTTTTATTTTATTGTACTATTTTATTCCTTGTTTTTTTGTTTTATTCAATGAGATAAAAAATGTTGCATAAATAACTTATTTTAGGTGAACGTCTTTGTTCTGAACGCAAATTCCAAATCTGATAAACTAAGTTCGAAAGACGTTAACCATCCGCACCCCAAAATGAACCATAAAGTCTGGGAAATATCTCGCAAAAGCATCGAATCCGCCTTTTCCATCAAATTGCCCGAGACAGACAAGGATAAAGGCAAGAACGATTGCGTCATAATGGACAATAACGACTACGTTTCGAAATGTTCGGACGGAATCTTGGATTTGGAAGCGTACGTGCCTCCATTTAGCACTATTTTAGAGGAATCGTCAACTTTCAGTACTAATACTAATACATCTAATAAAAGTTAAAATGTAATAGTGATATAATTTGTGCTCAAGGGCATAACAACTTAATTCTTTATCATATCTTGCTTAAAATATGCATTTTTTTGGATATGGATGTTATAAGAATTTGTTTAACAATCCTATTTAACAAATAAATATTTCCTAAAAAAGTGGGTTTTTGCCACTGGAAGAAAATCTGCAAAATAAAAATGTTATTTTTTGGAAATGCCGCTGCGTTGGAAACACCGCTGCGTAAACGGAAACCAGCTTGTCAGTGGCTTTTTACTAGTAAAATAAATTTATATAATCGATAGAAAGCTTAACATAAGAACAACTATTCAAGAACATTATTATTATTAGATATTTTAAATAGATTTTCTTTGTTTTATTTTATTTTGACGACTGATATACGGGATATACTTCTTGAAATATTAAGCTTTTTTGTCGGTTAGGCAAATTTGTTTTACTAGTAAAAAGCTATTGACAAGCTGGTTTGTGTTTGGATTCAACGCAGCGGTATTTACAATACCTTTTTTATTTTGCAGATTTCCTTCCAGTGTCAAAAAACCAAGGTTTTTTCTGTGTTTTTCGAGTATAACTATCCTCAATTGAGGGAATAAAAGACATACATACAGTGGGGGCTACTAGTTTCGAGACAGTTGCGCCTCATCTTCAGGCCACAAGACAATAATTTTTTTCTTATTTTTTAGGTCTTAAGTATTCTATTTTAAGGTCTTAGGTCTTAAGACAATAAAAATTTTGTATTGTCGTAGGGCATGAGGCTGAGGTTGTAACGTTACGGTAGTCACCCTCTGTAAATTAAAAAAAATATATATACCTATATTTAATTTGATGGAGATTGTGAGAATTTTATTTCTTGAATTGAGAATAGTTATGATTTAAAGAAATAAATATTTTGATTTATTAAAAATTTGAATGACTAAAATTGAAATATATAAAGCTTTTTGATTTTGGATACATTAAGTTCAACAGACAAAGTAATTATCTGTGTATTAATCATATAGGACAATTAAGTCAAGTGTTTGAGTATTAGATATTTGTAATTTGTATAATTTCATAATTCGATCATCGACGTCATCATATGCAGAAATATTCTAAATATATTTTTATCAGTTTTTTTGTTTATTATTCCCTCGTATTACTTAACTTTAGTAGGTAGGTAATACAATATTAACACAATCTAGCTCAATCTAATTTCTGAATATTAAATATTAATATAGACCTTTGAATAAAAAAAAAATCAAAGAAGGAACATATCAACAAAGTTAGGTCGAATGCAATGGGGGATTACTTTAAAAATAAATAGAGATTATATTTATTTTTAAAGTTACTCTGATATATTAATATTTTGGAAAAAAACTCAAAATTTAAGTGAAGATGCAGTCAATAATCACCACACAGGCTAATGAAACTACTTTTTCAAATTTGTCAAGCTTTCGAGAATTTTATTCCCATCATCAGGACAGTTTGACTGAGTCAATTAGCAAAAACAACATCCTCTGAACAAAAAGGCCTTAAAACTAGCATCATATGATGGAATACAAGGTTTCATTTCATGATGGAATACAATTTCCAGTCACAGTTTGATCGAGCTCGAAATAACAATGTAGAAATTCGTCTTAGTAAATTTAAAAAAAAATTGTTTTAAAAAGTAGTGTCGTTGGATATGTATTTTAATATTTTAAAAATTTCCTTGTATTTTAATGTCATATAATGGGTTAGGGGCGTACATTTGTACTGTCGTGTACCAAGCGTCTACCAAATACGGTATGATCAAAAAAACGGCCTCCAGCTGGCTGGGAAATGACGATCGATGACATTTCCCATATAAATTTACATATAAAATTACAGCGATCTTCATTTCATAGCCATCGCTGACGCCCTTTTTTTCGATCATACGGTATTTGGCGCCATTTTGGTTGCTGTTCTTGCAACGGTCGCGACACAAAGCTTTTATTAATTTCGGAGTCGTTCGGGTTTTTCGGGAACTATGTCACCAAATATATTATTTATTCAAATTTATTATTATTTTCTTTTAATTTTGTAAATAAAACACAGTGTGTTGCATATAAGAAACTTTATTTTATATAAGAGGATTTTGCAGTTCACAGTTCACACATCTTCAGTTTTTTTAATGTTACTTTTTCACAATTATCAGGGGTTTGAGTAAATAAAATTTAAATTAAACTTACAAGATAGCCACAATTACTTTGAAAATGGACGCTTTAAACACTTTTTTTTTTTTAGTGTTTGGTTTGGTTTGGTTGTTCTGTTAAATTTTGAAAGATTTTATAATTTTTGAAGGTTCTGACTTTGACAACAGAAAATTCTTTCTGTTCTTGTTTGCGGTTGTTGTAGAGTGGCGTTTGAGTGGCGTAGTATGTTATTCTACGAAGAAAGGTAGCTCAAAAACGAAGAGAGGTAGAAAATTTTGTTGATAGCACCTTCCGTTTGACAAAAAAGTGGGACAGGTTTGTGCAAACCGCATCTTCATAGCTTTACTAATAACGGAGATACCGTATGATTTCAACCAAAATGGGACACCCTGTACATTTTATGGATATACATATCCATGCTTGGCTGTTTGGGATATTTGGTTATAATATATAAATATACGAGACACGTTTCTTATGCAACGGTTAAATATACATATTTGGTTTCTATTTTATATTTAATGTACTTTTTGCAAAGATAGATATAAAATTAGATCCAAGTTAGTAATATAATATAATTTCGTTTCAGTCGCATTTATATTTTTACCTCGATCAGTTAAATAACGCCTCTCGCGAGATTAATTCCAAAAAATATTCCATTTCGCTTTTTGTTTCTCTTATTTCGTAATAAGCACGTGCTCACTAAAATAAGTCCCGTGGTTCCGATCTGTGCAAACACGTGAACAAATAATATCAACAGTTTTTCGAATGAAATTAATAATTGGTTTAGGAATTTAAATATTTATGTTATGAATGACAATTTAGGTATTATGTGAATTATTCTTTACATTGTTATTTTTTCAAACAACTTACGTAAGGATATTGTAAATTAAATAAGTTTGTAATTTAGAAATTCATATTCTCTTATTTCTCATATTTAATTTGTTATAGTCCAAGATCCGGCTGCAGGATTATTACGCTCATCATCTTTTTAATCAAAACCTAATTTTTATATACCGGGTGCGTCTCAGAAGTGGCTCACCCCCAATAACTTTTTTATTTTTTCAGATAAAATACGAGATTTGGTTTATTAGTATATATGACATAAATTAGGATTGATTTGACGTATTAAATTGTTATTGGTCACTTCTTGTTCGCGGGAAATTACTACAACTTTTGATTTTTAAATGGCATCTTCGGTATACAGGGTGGCCCATCGAAAACGTTCCGCAAGGCATAACGGCCAGGGTATTTTTTTTTTCAGAAAATTCAAAAACACGTCAATTTTGTTTGTGAGGGGGACAACTTTTGCCCCAAAAATGATTGCAAAATCTTCAACCCTCTAAGCGGGGGTGTGATCCCCCCATTCTTTTCAAATGGAAAAGGGGGTCAAGTGGTACCGCAATGAAAAGGGCTTTCTATTCTCTATATTTTCCGGCTTCGTTTTTGCAAATCGATCAAGTCATTGAGAAATTATAAAAAATTTAAATTTGAAAAGTTTATTTAAACATTTATCAGAGTAAATGATAAGGGTAAATCCTTCGACCAATTTGCTGTATTTTCTTATTATTTCTAGATGTTTACGCATTTTTTCACTTGCCACAAGGTTGAACGATCAGGTGCAGTAGTTGGTAGTGCATAGCTGTTCTGTGACTTATGCGTTGAAGTTCTTCTCAATATCGATAAACTTTTTAACAATTATTATGGTGTACTCACTTGCAGAAAAAGTGGAAATAATCGAACTTTATTTTAAAAATATTGTTATGAATAAAAAGAGGCAGAGGGAAAATCCTGTAGAAAATGAAGCTATGGAGGTATTCGTATTGAGCCAAGTTGCCATGGATAGTACACTGAGTACAAGAAAATTGGCCAATGACACCGGCGTGAATCGTACAAATGTCCAAAGGATATTAAAAAAACACAAGTTCTACCCGTACAAAATTCAGTTGGTACAATAACTTAACGAAGACAATTTTGATCGTCGCTTGCAATTTAATTATGTATTATATACTTTTATTTATGTGTGTTTTTTGGATGAGTGTACTTTCTTATTGAACGATGTAGTTAATCGGCACAATTCTCGGTTAGGTAGTTAGTGCACACACAAAACCCTCAGAAATTGAACGTGTGGGCTGGTATTTTTAGAAATTCTATTGTAGGTTAGTTTAACGATATTGAGAAGAACTTCAAGTCACAGAACAGCTATCTAGCAACTACCGCACCTGCTCGTTCAACCTTGTTGTAACAGTCCAAATTTAGCTTTAACTAGGTTTAAAAATATATACCAATTTTTCTTACAAGTTAGATCAAACTTTTATTTATGCTGATAAATAAATTTATTGCATTTAATTTTTATAAACAAATATTCATTACAGCTATATTTCATTATCTTTCTTACTCTCCTTTGCTTAATTTATTTTGCTTTCCATGCCATATCTCAAGTCAGTAATCAATCAGTAATCTAAAATATAATTAAAATTTATTATCTAATGCTAATATAATCAAATTCACCAAAATATTACCTTTAATTTCTGGACTTGTTTATGTTTCTGAATGTTAGCCTATTTGCCGTAATTTCTAGTAGTTCTGCGGTACTGCTTGCCCTTGTATTATCTTAGAAGATTTCCTATCAAGTGTGGATTGTCTCTAAAATATTATTTGATCCTATATTTCATTATAGAGCTCAAAATGAAGTTATTTACCTGCGTATTTTTTTGAAATTTATCATTTGTTTATTTTCTGCAAATTGTAGGGTTAACAATTATTATTAATAATGTCATTTATATTTGAATTGCTCAGATCAGTTGAGATGCGTGAATTCGGCGCACACACGCTGTTGTCAGGTTGGGCAGTACTTCCTTTAGGTTCTGATGTTTGTATTTTCTGATAATTATTGATTGCATAATCGACATCCTTTCCGTAATATTGTGTATGCATCGTCACCGGCATAAGGTTTGGTATAGGTGTGTTTGAATGGTTATTGGAATTTACTTTTAATTCTAAGTAATGTTTATTTTGGCAATGTTTCTAAATTCCCAGAATATTAAATTGCAACTTTGCAGTATAAGTCAAATTTCTTCGGAGCGGAACTCTATCTGATCGATGTAGGTTTCCCATTTTTTCCCTTCAGCTTCAAAGCAGGTGTTTTAGTCAGTGTAATTTGTTGGAATTTTCCTGTTTTACCCGTTTGTTGGGGATAATCACTGACTAGAACTATAAGGGATACTTTGCTGTTTGAGTTGTACCTTACCTTTTAAAAGTATCTCTGAGCCGTTTTATACGGGATTTTAATCTGCTCGTGGCTGGTAAGTTTTTTTTGATCGCCATTTTGTCTAGTGTGATTTGTACTATTCAAATTATTTCTTAACAGGGAAAGCCTTTTGATTTATTTCTTTGTCATCGTCGATTTTCTTGGGAAGAGGAACTTAAAACCACCACCTGTTCCAGTAATTTCTGCTTTCTGAATCCAGCAATTTGAACATCCATCTATTAGAAAAAAAAAAAACTAGATTTTTTGTGAAGCCCAGCAAGGTAACTTTTTATGATATTTTTTATATTTCTACAGTTGAAACGTGTTTTGATTATTTAATTAATTATAGCTGTGTTTCTTTTGTTTCAATCTATCCCTTCTAGGTAACTTTCTTTTTATTTCGTAAACCTAATACCGCTCTCGGTTTTAGGGCTTTTTTTTTTTTTGGACCAGGCTTTTAAGACCAGGATTTTTCCACCAGGCTTTGAGACCAGAACTTTTTTTGGACCAGGATTTTTCTTTTATACGAGGATTTTTCTACGAAGCATTTTTCTGGCTTGCCTTTTCTGACAGACTTTTTCCAGTACGTCTCTCTGGAAGTGGTATCCTTCTGAAGCACTGAGCTTGGCAACTACGTCGCTGGATCAGGTTTGAAGCAGAAACAAGTAAACGTTTACT